TTTGTGGTCTTTCCAAATTTTTTCTTGTGGTTGACTTCAAGTTTAATAGCACTGTGGTCTGAAAACATGCATGGTATGATCTCAGTCTTTATACTGGTTGAGGCCTGATTTATGACCCAGTATGTCATCTATTCTGGAGAATGTTCCATGTGCACTTGAAAAGAATGTGTATTCTGCTTCTTTTGGATGAAATGCTCTGAATATATCTGTGAAGTCCATCTGGTCCAGTGTGTCATTCAAAGCCCTTGTTTCCTTGTTGATCTTCTGCTTAGATGATCTGTCCATTGCTGTGAGTGGGGTGTTAAAGCCCCCCACTATTATTGTATTATTATCAATGAATTTCTTTAAGTTTGTTATTAATTGATTTATATATTTGGCTGCTCCCAAGTTAGGGGCATTAATATTTACAATGGTTAGATCTTCTTGTTGGATAGACCCCTTTATTATGATATAGTGCCTTCTTCATCTCCTATTACAGTTTTTGGTTTGAAATCTAGCATGTCTAATATAAGTATGGCTACTCCAGCTTTCTTTTGATGTCCATTAACATGATAAATGGTCCTCCACCCCCTCAGTTTCAATCTGGAGGTGTCTTTGGGTCTAAAATGAATCTCTTGTAAGCATATTGATGGGTCTTATTTTTTTTTTACCCATTCTGATACCCTATGTCTTTTGATTGGAGCATTTAGTGCATTTACATTCAGAGTAATTATTGAAAAATATGAATTTAATGCTACTGTATTACCTGTAAAGTTGCTGTTCCTGTAGATTGTGTTCCTTTCTGTTCTGTGTTGCTTTTGTTCTCTCTTTCCCACTCAAAGCGTTCACTTTATTTCTTGCAGAGCTGGTTTAGTGTTCATGAACTCCTATAGTTTTTGCTTGTCTTAGAAACTCTTTCTCTCTCCTTCTATTCTGAATAATAGCCTTGCTAGATAAAGTATTCTTGGCTGCATATTTTTCCCATGTAGCACTTTGAATATTTCCATCCACTCCTTTCTGGCCTGCCAGGTCTCTGTGGACAGGTCAGCTGCTAGCCTTGTATAGTCTACCCTTGTAAGTTAAGGACCTTTTGTCCCTAGTGGCTTTCAGAATTCTCTCTTTATCTTTGTATTTTGCAAGTTTCGCTATGATATGTCATGATGTTGACCTGCTTTAGTTGATTTTGAGGGGAGTTTTCTGTGCCTCTTGGACTTGAATGCCTGTTTTCTTACCCAGATTAGGGAAGTTCTCAGCTATAATTTGTTCAAATACACCTTCTATGCCTTTTTCCTGCTCTTCCTCTGGGACTCTTACAGATATTATTTTGCTTTATGGAATCACTGAGTTCCTACTTTTATGGTCTAATAGTTTTCTTTCCCTCTTCTTTTTAGCTTCATTATTTTCCATAATTTTATCTTCTATATCACCTATTCTCTCCTCTGCTTCTTCAGTCCTCGTGGTTATATACATTGATTTTGCATCTCAGTTATAGCAGTTTTTAATTTCAGTTTGACTAGTTTTTAGGTCTTTTATCTCTGCAGCAAGGATTTCTCTGGTGTCTTCTATGTTTTTTTTCACACCCATCTAGTAGTCTAATGACTTGTTCTAAATTCTTTTTCAGATATATTGCTTATATGTGTTTTGAGCAAGTCCTTGGCTATGATTTCTTCTTGGACTTTCTTTTGGGGAGAGTTCCTCTGTCTTGTCATTTAGGTTAAGTGTCTATCTTTTGCGTGTTATGAAAGCCTGTTATGTTTTCTGCACCTGAGAGTAATATTATATTAAAAAGTGGTCATACACTGTCCACAGCCTGGCACTTCAGGAAGTGTTTTTGATATATACTGTGTGCACTCTGCTGTTGCATTTTGGCTGCTCTTTCCCACTGGCCAGTCCTCTGCAGAGTTCCTCCTTGCTTGCAGTGGGAAGTGTTTGGATTTTTAACTAGGTGTGCTTTGATTTGTTTGTTAAAATAAGCATGGAAAAAAATAAAGGGAAAAAAAGCCTGATCCCAAAAAAATGAAGAGAAAAGGAAATGGAAAAACAAACTAATAAACAAAAAATTATAAGCATGATTCCAAAGGAAAAAAAAAAGAAGAAAAAGAAAAAATATATAGCCTGGTTCTATTTCCACCAGAACTGAAGGTGCTGCTTTGAAGCACTGTATGATCAGTAGACTTGGTGCATATGGGGTGCTTCCTGTGCTGGTCTTCTGGGGGAGAGGCCTGCTACAATTGCTCAGAGTCAGTCCTGCCCCAGTGAATATGCACTTGCCAGGCAAGTGGGAGAGTTGGTGAGAGGGGGAGAGATAGGGTTTGATGTAAGCAGCTCCTACCTCCACTGGGGGCCGCGGTGGTGTTCTCTGAAGTCTGACCATGTAGGTAGTGAGGAGAATATGGTGCCACTCCACTCTGTCATCCTTGGACAGGGGATCTCACAGAAAACCGAGGGCTGTCAGCGTGCCTGGTGCCACGGCTCTCCTGCATTTTATCTTTGGTGCATGGCTGGGATTCAGAACTCCAAATCTTGAACGATCCTGCACTGCACAGATCCACTCTTTCCTCTGGAGTAGAGCCTCCCCATCATGCTGTGTCTAGTGTCCTTTGTCCAAGAAAACAGTCCCATTCCTGCACAGTGTGCCAAATCTATGGTATAGCACCTGGAAAAGCATCACCAGGTTATCTACCCTCTGCACAGGTCTCTGTCCCCTGCTGAGGAAAGACCATTAGCTGGTGCCTGCAGGGTTTTTGTCCTTAGAGAGGCAATATAACCTCTTCCAAATGTACTACAGGAAAGGGAGCATTCTCTCCCAGTGGAACCCAGGAGATCCCTACACCAATTTATGCCTTCTCTGGCTAGGCATTCCTTCTCCCCAGGAGCACATGCCAAAGCTCCCACTTTGTGCACTTCCAAAACCTCAGAGTTTGAGCTCTGCACACTGTTTGTGAAACACCTGTGATACTCAGTTCCCCTTGCTCCCAATCCAAGGTCCAGAGAGGTTTTCTTCTTTTTTCTTTTTTTAAAAGATTTTATTTATTTATTTGAGAGAGAGGGGGCATGAGTGGGGTGCAGGGCAGAGGGAAATGGAGAGGGACAAGCAGACTCCCCACTGAGCCCCCACTGAGGGAGCCCAATGTGGGGCTCAGTCCCAGGATCCAGAGATTATGACCTGAGCTGAGGTCAGAGGCTTAACCAACTGAGCCACCCCACTTCCCCAGAGAGGTTTTCTTCTTGTGCAAACCCATTGCTGGACTCTTTCAACCGCTATTTCTCTCCTTTTTTCCTCCCCATAGACAGGGCTCCCTACCCTCCTTGGCATGATAGTTTTTCTCTTCCCCAGTTCATTTCACACACCTGACAGCTGCAATGCTGTCTACCTTCAACCAAGAGATCATTCTTCCGATTTATCTCCTGGGTATTCCAGGGATCAGACCTCAGTAGAGCTATGTTTAAGGGGCCAGGAAAGCCCGACTTCTCTCCCATTTAACTCTTCGCTGCTAATTCTTCAAGTAATTTCAACATAGGTATCATGGTTTCCATTGCAGGGATAAGGAAATCAAGACAGAGATGGGTAAAGTCATGTCGGAGCTTGCTATCTCCCAGAAGCTACTCCGCAAAACAGCATCCAGGCATGTTGTTTCTTTGGGGAGGACCAATACCACTGATTGGAGTATGGGAAAGTGACACAGGGAAGAAGTACTATGAGTCCAGCATGCCAGCTTGCGGGTGAAGCTTAAACCTGAGAAATATATCAGAAATGATGTAACACACTCGTTGGGCTTCTCCTAATTCAGCAATAAAGGATCTGGAATCTTTATAAACCAACTCTCCAGAAACATCCGTTGAGCATTTCTGTCAGCGTGGCACCCAGTAGGCAGCGTGACATTCTGCTGTGGCATGAAAACAACCATTAGGCATAGAGATACAGATCGGGTGGGTAGAAATTGTCTTGAACACAGTAAGAACTGAGATATATGAAGGCATATTTAAAGATTCATCTATGGTATACGGTTTTTCCACTACCCAACATTTTCTTCTTAATGATGGTGGACGGGCACAATTTGTATAAGAGGAAGACAGGAGGAAGAACAAGGAAGAGAGGAGGAGATGGGACGCAGGGAGAGAGGAAGGTAGACGGAGGGAGGGAAGGAGGGAGGAAGAGAAAACAGTAACTGTGTAGTCAGTGCATTAAGTAACTCACTCTGCTGCTTAACAGGTGAGGACTAGAGTCACCAACTCCTCCTGGATGTCCCAAACTGCCCTAGAGATATCACGGAAAGTCCCACATCCTCTAAAAGCCCTCATTTCTGGGTGAATCAGGACGGCTGGTCACTCAGGAAGTTCGGTGACTGATGCTTGCCTGCTCTTGGTGTGCCGCTGCTGTTTCTATCCACCTGCTTGATTCTGCCTTGACATATGGAAGAGATGAAGCCACATATCTTCCACCCAAGTGTCTTTGATTGAACTGGGACATTGAGGTGGGGTAGGGTGCTCCAAGAGACCGATGCTGTGGGGGTCTGGAATCAGGCTTTGTGGGGAAACAGACTTGGGCTCAGGCATGATCCAATTCATCACTATGAACATATCAACAACAATCACATCCCTATTCTCAGGGATATTCCTCATCTACATGCAACCTAAGGACCGACGCTGGGGAAGGACCACTAAACTGACTCGCCAACCACTTCCCAGGCCAGGGGGAGTTATGTCATGTGATGAAATTATTGAAACAAGAATGATGCTTCTGCTATGACAACCTTGTTTGCATCAGAAAATGTCTCCATGAGTTATTCTCAATTAAAAAACACGGTAAGCACTTATTTACGAAAAATTTATAACATTCAGAAAAAAACTTCCTCTTCCTCAATTCCCAAATTAGTAGGCAAACAACGTAAACAACAAGAAAGTCATGCCCATTGGTCCAAATATAGGGCTCTAGTGCATAAAAGCCCCACAACAAGAGGACACGACAGAATCTGAGAAACTCACCTCTGAACAGAAGCTCCCCCTCCACCTGGGACACCATGACCGACTCGTGCTGCTGCTCCCCTTGCTGCCAGCCTACGTGCTGCAGGACCACCTGCTGCAGGACCACCTGCTGCAGGTGCGGCGGCGGCTGTGGACAAGTCGGCAGCGGGTCCAGCTGCTGCGGGTCCGGCTGCTGCCAGCCTTGCTGCTGCCCGCCAACTTGCTGTCAGACCACCTGGTGCCGGACCACCTGCTGCCGGCCCAGCTGCTGCGGGTGCGGGGGCGGCTGTGGACAAGTCGGCACCGGGTCCAGCTGCTGCGGGTCCGGCTGCTGCCAGCCTTGCTGCTGCCACCCCACTTGCTGTCAGACCACCTGCTGCAGGACCACCTGCTGCCGGCCCAGCTGCTGTGAACCCAGCTGCTGTGGGTCCAGTGGCTGTGGACAAACTTGCTGTGGGTCCAGCTGCTGTCCGCCAGCCTGCTGTAGCCCCGTGTACTGCAGGAGAACCTGCTACTTCCCCACCTGCTGCTGCTTGCCTGGATGCCTAGCCCAGGGCTGTGGATCCAGCTGCTGCTAGCCTGGTTGCCAGCCAAACTGCTGCCATGCCACCTGCCGGAGGACCACCTGCTGCCACCCCTGCTGGATGTCCAGCCGCTGCCAGCCTTCCTACTGCTGACTGCCTCACCAAGAACCACCACCTGCGCACAGCACTGACTTGCCATTTGGGAAACAAGGACACTGCCAAATGCTACTGAAATCATGCAATCGCCAACATTTCTGTTACTCATCGGCCTCTTCAGAAGCTTGTGAATCAGCTTGAGGAAGTGGGGACCCCTTTTCCTGATTCTCTTCTTCCTTAGGTCTCGTGAGACCCTGCCAGCTGCATGCCTCCAGATACAGAGTCAAGAGGAGTCAAGATCTCTGCTTTGACCCCAGAGTCAAGATCTTCATCCTAACTACCTTTGAGAAATAAATCCTCTTGCTTGATACATATTTTTGCAACTATTAATGTCTGTACAGCTATGTTTTCTTTCTCGGTGCACTCACAGGAATGCTGATTTCTTCCTGTCATGATCCTTTTGAATGTCTCCCCAGACACAGGGAATCTCACATGAATTTCGTGGTAAACCCTGTACTGATCTGCATCCCGTATGGTGTTCGTGTCCTTGTACGGCATCCGCGATGCAACGATTTACGTACAGGTCACATAGCACACACAGTATCCTTTTGGGGCCTCATAGACTCCGCACAAATTCATATCTCCATTTGCGGATGAGGAAATCTTGGGACTTCTTGTCACAGAGCTGACAGGGACACGCTTGGATGCCAGGCCGCAACTCCTGCCCTTGCTGAAGGGCACTCACATTCCCATCTGCAGGCCCGTAGGCACCGCCTTGGGCCTGAGCACCAGCAAGAAGTTCGTATGAGTGTCTTTGAGGACCACGGAAGTCCTATTCTCCTGTGGGTGCAGGCGATATCTGGGACCAGGTGGTAGATACCCGGGTCCTACCACTCAGAGACACCTCCAGCCCCATGGGAGGGCAGCGAGCCCTGCCCTTTAGAGCTCTTAGGAACACAGGGACCTTTGTGCTTCCTCAGGGTCGTCCAGCCCCTCATGCACTCCTCTGCATCACAGATAGGTGAGCCTGCAGTGGCCTCATGACTGAGGGCCGCAGCTGCTCACGCATGGCCCGTTGGGCCGTGGAAGCGCCCTTCTGCTTGGTCCTCGTGGTCCTCAGGACCCACTGGCAGGGTACGGAGGTATCAAGCAGTTTTCTGCCAAACGCATCATGCTCCCCACCTGCAAGGCAATTTGGCGCCGTGATCAACGTGTTCCCAAGAAAAGGAAGGAAGGACGACCTTAGGGCCAACAGCCCGTGCACTGGGCGTGTAGGATGACTTGGGAGTCATCCATGGCCTCCGAAACACCTCCGGGAACCAAACAACCTCCAGCGTTTGGGGAAGGACCTGTGAAGCGGTCCAGGGAAGTCCATGGGTCGCTCTGGGAGCGGAGCTAAGGCGGGAATGGGCGGAGGGCACGGGGAGGCCAAGTGAGGAAGAAGAAAGAGGAAAGAGCATGGGCATTCACAGGACTCACGATAGCCAGAGGCTGGCGCTTCTGGTCTTGAACTAATGCATGATGCTGCCTCGGCGCTCAGGGATGTGAGGCTGGATTCAGGCTCTGAGTGGAAGAGCAAACGTAGGCCCTGAGTCTCCTCCCGGGAGCAGTGGAGGGACCTCTGATGAGCTAGGAAGGCTCCTGCCCGGGACACACGTCAACGTTGAAGACCAGCTATCCGGGAGGCTCTGGACAGACTGCCAAGACCAAACACGCCTCCTGCTGGTCCTTAGGACCTGGGGGTTGGCCTGATGAGGAGGCAACCCAGACACGACCTGGGTTGCTTCCTACTTGCTAAGTATTGGCCCAATGCTTCATGTACATTTTCTTGAATTCTTGCAGTAATTTTCAACAAAGCCATCAACGTTCCCATTGCAGGGATGAGGAAATCAAGACTGAGATGGGTAAAGTCATGTCGGAGCTTGCTATCTCCCAGAAGCTACTCCGCAAAACAGCATCCAGGCATGTTGTTTCGTTGGCGAGGGCCGATCCCACTGGTTGGAGCGTGGGAAAGTGACCCAGGGAAGAGGCACTTGGAGTCCAGTGTGCCAGCTTGCAAGTGAAGCTTCAACCTGAGAGATATATCAGAAAGGATGTAACACACTCATTGGGCTTCTCCTAATTCAGCAACAAGGGATCTGGAGTCTTTAGAAACCATCTCCCCAGAACCTGCTTGGGGTCCAGGTGCTGCCAGCCTTCCTGCTAGTCCAACTTGCTGTTAGACCACCTGCTGCAGTACCATCTGCTGTCGACCCAGCTCCTTTGTTTCTAGTGCTTGTGGACAATCTCCTGTGCATCCAGCTGCTGTCAGCCAGCCCATTGTACCCCTGTGTACTTCAGGAGGCCCTGCTAGTATCCCACCTGTTGTTCCTTGCCTGGATGCCTAGCCCAGGGCTGTGTGTCCAGCTGCTGCTAACCTTGCTGCTGCCCAACCTCCTGCCACACCACCCGCTCTAGGTCCACCTGCTGCTCCCCTTACTGCATGTGCAACTGCTGTCAGCCTTCCTGCTGCTGATCAACTTGATATAGACCCATCACTTACCATATACATATGTCCTAGACCTTTTTCCAAAGTTACTGTCTTCCAAAATTTGCTCCCTAAACTTTACTGTGAACACAAGCTTACACTGCACCTTGCTGTCATCTTTTTCTGCCATGCTTAAGTGTCTATGGAGGGGATGCCGTCTACTTCAATTTCATTTTATTACTTTCTCTTCATCACTGTAGGAATTGCTGATCACTCCATTTGGTCATTTCCAGATGCTGGTCAACATCATTGATTCACACTCTCAGCCTCAGAAAAGCGATCACCACTTTCACCTCTATGGCACTTAAACACTTTCTTCTGAGTGTATATTTGGCTCTCCACAGTGATAAATACTGATCATCTTTTTAGACATACGCATTATATACTAATAACTTCTGCCAGGTTACAAACTCTTCACAATGCCTTTGAATTTTCTTCCTTCTGTTCTTTCCTAAAAAAAGTCTGTATTATCCTGCATTGAGGATGTGTTTGTTTGTGTGGTTTTTTGTTTGTTCATTTGCATGTGTGTTTACAGCATTTCCTTTCTGAAGTCCTTTCTGAAGTTTTACTTTTGGGCTTCATTATATATTTATCTCATTCAGTTATCACAATTGTCCTACAAATTAGGCAGAGCCACATTTATTATTCCATTATCCTTCTCAGTTTAGGGAGCAGGAAATGGTTTACTATACTGTGAATAATTGATAGAAGCAGGTCCTTTGATTTCAGGTCAATGACATTTTTATTTACATCTTTCTATAAATACAAATAACACTAGTGATGGGGCACAGGGAATGCATACAGTTTGAGTTGTTTCACTAACACTGGAAATAATTATATCTTTCATATAGAGAACCATTTCAGTCTACAAAACTCTTCCTAAATATTCTTCCCACCTTTTTTAAATTTTCATATTGTTATGTTAATCACCATACATTACATCATTAGTTTTTGATGTAGTGTTCCATGATTCATTGTTTGTGCATAACAACCAGTGCTCCACGCAGAA